GGTTGGGACATCTTGCTCGTCTGTACTTTATGTGTAATGTGTCAAAATATACGTCTGTCCTCCGTATTACTATGGACAATCCAGAAGACATCCAGAAGACAAGATGTCTTCTGGATTGTCTATGGTATTACACTGTAACTGACAAAGGCGAGTTCAACTCCAGTAGTCGACAGTTGAGACTTGACTGCGCTTGGTGAATACAAATCGCAGGGTTTTTTTTAAGAAAAATTTATAACTGCACATTTTATCTTTGCGGCATACCCAATGGCAATGGTTTCAACAAGGTCAATAATGTCGGATCTTGGGTAACAATACAACTGGCAGCTTTAATTTGTAAACTTGTTATTATAAATCATTGATGGAAAGTTATTAAAATATAATAAACAAAATAAATGCCAGTTATTGACAAATGCAGTAATTTAATTAGTTTTTGTTAATAATGGTAGATAAAGTACATAAAACTATATAATAGTCAGTTCACTCAACTTAAGACAAGTATTTATAACCCAATAAATCAAGAATGAAGAAATAATTTCGCATAAATATCCTCAATGATTGAGATGTCAACAAATAAATATATTTATACTATAATTCTATAAAAATTCACCAGCTACCTTATCCGATCAAGCAGGAAATATAGCGTTATTTCTGAATTCCAGTGAACACCACTGTTTCAAATTCCATTCGTTTTACGCCGATACACATATTCTTTGGGGTTCGAAAAGCATGTCTCACAACGCACATAGTGGCGACCATTCTTGTGTAAGTGTTTCAGATTATCCTCTTTTGGCTCTTTAGTGTTTTTCTCTGATGTCTTTGCAGTTTCACTTGGTCCTTGATCCTCATTATTCATTATTATTAAATGTTAAGTTTATATTCGCGTCGGATGTTTTTTCAATGTTGAAAAAGTTAAAAAGGCGCGAACAATTCTGCGCCTTTGTATTTACGTGTCAGCAGCTTACCACGGGAATCCTGTCTAATCCAATCATATCTATGAATCCAATCTAATCACAACCAGCTGTACACATATATCCTATTTATACTTGTAATATCCCATTGATTCCCTCTAAAACAAACATGGCGGTGAAAAGTTGCTCAAGAAAATTAATACAGGATTACAAATCCGAAATATTTAATAAAGCGAACGATGTCGTCAAGATTTTCAGCAGGAAAGCTAAACTTCCAGCGATTGCTCAAGAACCGGGGACTATATACCGTAAAAGCGTCGTTTCTGACCATCTGAACAGCGAAATTCATCGCGAAGCAAAAAAGACAAAGAGATTGTTGTCTTTGAAAGGACCGGAAAAGCTTCATATGACGTCATTGACACCAATTGGAAGGGCATTATCGATCGCAGATGCACAATTGGCTGCGAAAGTTGCTAGCTTATTTTTTCACGTTTACCATGGTGATAAGAGACTTACTTTGTCTGCCAATTCTTTCCCTTCACGTGTGGTTGTAAGCCGAATAGCAAATGCGTTTTCTTTTGATGATTGGAGTATAAACGGCATGCCTAATGATCTCCAATACCTTTCACCAAACGCACACAGCGAATTCCTCAAATGCATTGTAAAGACAGATAGAAATTCACTTGCTTCAAAGATGTCAAACTCGTTGGCCATCTCCTTAAGATGTGACGGATCGGTTGATAGAACGCAGATAGATAAGATATATTTAATGGCTAAGGCCATATCTAGAGACGGAAAAGAAAACAATATCTTTCTCGGCGCGGGAGAGCCAAAAGAAAGAGGAGCAGTTGGGGTTCACAAGGCTATACTTTCGGCATGTTCAGCAACCCTTGGCGAAAATACCGAAGGTGAAGAAGAAGCTTTGTTGACTCAAAGCAAGAAAGTGTTTCAACGTGTTTCTTCTTTTGTTACTGATGGTGCATCAGTAAATACTGGAGAAAAAAATGGTCTTTGGGCTTTGATTGATCGTGATTTCAACCTTCCTTTGGGCGATGAAGTACCAACACCGATGATAAAAATTTGGTGCGCTGCTCATCGTTCGCAGCTGGCCTGGAAATCTGTCACCAATTCAGGAAGTAAGCCATTTAATTCAGCAGCTTTCAAGCATATCCACATTTTTCCATGCATCTGGCATCCGGACACGTGAACTTATTGATGCTGCAAATGCTGAGGGCTGCTGCGTGTTATCATTACCTCGTGTCTTCGAAGTTCGTTGGACAGAATTCACATCGTCGTTAATAGAAGTGCAACCTCGTCCCCAGGGCCTTTTAAAGAAAGATGCGAAGGGCAGCAAAGGCCCTGGTAAAGGCTGGTGAAATAATCCACAAATTGTGGATTATTTTGTCACGTGATATATCGGAGCAAATACTATACAGGGGGGTGCGATCGCGGATCGCTTTAGCTACAATATATTCGTCAATATAATGCATAAACACCAAAATCGACAAATAAAGAACAAAAATCAGTGGCGGCGCCACGGGGAGGACTGGGGAGGACACGTCCCCCCCAGTTCTCTTCAAGGTCAATTTTCTAATTTGTCCAAATCCAGTGAGAAAAGTGGGGGGGGGGTACGTTTTTGACATCAGTCTAGTTATTTAGATCTAACTTAATAAATCCAGTCTTTATTGTGTGAATAAAAACCGGTATTAAAAGATCATCGCTTTACTTTTGACAAAAGACCGTTTCATATATGCGGTATTAATTTACCATTAGCATATTGCAGGAACTGATTACGACCGCCGAAGGAAACCCTGCACCATAATGGGTTAATATATTATCAAAATTAAGTGCAATGTGTGATGCGGAAGTTTGGTCCTGCTGCTGAGATGTGAGGGAGATATGTTAATTAATGCACCGTTCGCACAACATATGGTCATTAGCTTCTTGGAACGCATGACTACACAACTGGAAGAGAAAAATGTTTGAAGGAAGAGATTCATCAAGTGAAGTTGTGTGTGAGGGAGGCAAATAAAACCTTCGTTTTCTAATCTGGGCGGTTAGACCTATCTTAGATTTTTCAATATCGGTGAGAAAGTTTACATTCCAAAAGAAATGGTACGAAGAGTACATATGACTGGAATATTCAATGAACCAACTGGAAGATTGCATACGAGCATCATATCAGCGAAGAGAAGGAAAGGAAAGAGTCTAGAGAAAGGGTTCAAAAGAAAGTTTCCACCTTGGATTTGCTTGCCCTCCTTGCTCGAAGTTTTCAACAAAGATGATTTGCACGACCGTTATCACCACTTGTTTGAGGTCGCTACCTTGCCTGTGACAGTGGCATCATGTGAGTGCACACACAGCAAGGTCAAAATAATAAACAATGATTTGCAAGTTGCTATGTCACCTGATAGACTCAAGGACCTTAAGGGTCCAGATTAGCAACGAACGAGATCTAGCCAACAATATTGAACTTAGCAAATTAGTGGAAATATTTAAGCTTGCGAAACCTTATAAGTTTCTCATGTGAACCGATCTACGATAACATAGATTAGCATTATTATTCTACCTAACAATTATTTCCATTTGCCTTTAAATATAAAATTATGTTGACTTCAATTTTCCTGGAAGTAGCAATTCTTTTAGGCAGCTGTCAATCAATGTAATCATAGTCAATAGAATAAGAAGGTTAAGGAACTCGATGCAGGAATAATAGACCTATCTATGCTTTTGTCTTGGTTTATGCAAAAAATGGTCGGTTACGTTCATCGTCATGTGTGTATTGTATTTTCGCTAGAGTAACCAATAGTTATTATGTTTTTGTTTAGCCATTGTGTAATATTACGACTGGGTAATTAAACCAGCACACTGCTATTGATAAAAAATAATACACACATGACAATGAATCGATCGTTCCTTGCATAAACCAGACAAAAACATAGATAATGAGATCTTTTACTGTATGTCTGCATCCAGTTCCCTAACCTTATTCTATTGGCTATGATGTAATACTACATTTGTAGGTCTTATTTTTACGTATAGTCATGAAAAAAATCGTGTGTTTTGTTTACTTTATAATCTTCGGAATTCTGAATAATCTTACCCTGAAAATGCAGGAAATCGTATTTCAGGGACTCTAGATTTCAAAAATTTTCCGGGGGGGCATGCCCCCGGACCCCCCTAGAAGTGTCTCGCGCCTTCAACGCTCGAAAATCCCCCCCACTTTTAAAAGGCTGGCGCCGCCACTGCTTGTAACGATTCTCTTCGAACGCTTTATGAACTGTAAAACGATAGCGAATGACACGGCTAGATGTTTTAAGACACGGTAGGGTTGTATTCGAATGATGGCCACTTCCAAACAGGGCTCGCGTTCTTTATATGCTTGTCGTGTACGGCAACTTTATCCGGCAATAATCGGGATCAGCTTGGGTTTCGCATTCTCAATGTTTTATATTCCTGTGACGGTAGTCGAAGAACAATGTGTTTTGGATATGCAAGTCACCGAAATACAGAACACGAAAAGCCGCACAACGAACAAAATTAAAGGAGACGAAAAGGTTGTCATCGGTGCGACTGTGAAGCCGAAACTTTCAAAATACGGCCCGGCTTTTCGACCTTATTACGTGGCAAGCGAGATCACGCAAAGGGACCGAATTCTAGTGGGTGTTTTGGCGTCTGAATTTAACCTTGAATCCTTGGGTACAGCTATTAATAACACATGGTTACCAGACCTACCAAGGGTCATACTGTATGTACCATATTCCAAGGATCCAGATTTTCATGAGAAATATAACAAAGTGCTTGGCCTTCCCATAGTACAGTTAGCTAGTGCAGAGGAAGATCGTTCATCAAAGACTCAAATATCGTTCAAAATGTTGGAACATATGCATAAGAATTATGAGGATAAGTACGATTGGTTTATGAGGATTGAGGAAGCGACTTATCTTGAACCAGGTCGATTGATGAGGTTGGTTAATATGATTAATAGCTCAATGAATGTTTACATTGGTCTTCCTGCGCCATTCAGTTCTCGAGGTGATTCACAGCCAACTGATCTTTATAATGCGGATCGATACTGCCAGGGACGGGCTGGGGTTATAATATCAAGGGTGACGTTGAATGCAATTGTACCGCACCTCGACAACTGCCTCGAACAGGCAATGACTAAAGAAGAGGATATTGAACTTGGCCGATGTCTTAATAAACACTTGCATCTTCAATGTACATGGAATTATGAGGTAAGTTATATTGTACCGGCCTCTTTGGCTAAAATGTGAGATATATTTTTATCAGAAGATAAAAATATGTCAATGATAATAACTTCTTAAGGCCGGTCACACTACACAACGATAACTTGTATATGCGCGCTGATTGGTCAAAAATTTATTGTTGTTGTCCGACTATGAACGATATTGTCAACAGATAATTTTATCATTTGTTTTTTCACCAATTATCACGTGTTTACAAGTTATCGTATCATAATCATTCATAGTGTGACCAGGCCTTTAGTAGACAAGTGCCATTCAACAGGTCTACAGTACCATTACATTTTTGTGGAACTTTAATTTAGTTGCATTGTACACTAATCCACCCTACTTTATTATTTTATTCTGTATAACACCAGATGATTTTACTCGTCACAGGTCTGAGAGCACTGGTGATCAATGCATTTTAAAATCAGACTATCTTCCCATGTGTGTAGTTGACTCACTAAGTTTCATTGTGCCCTAATGCAGTTTATTATTTTACTCTGTCTAACAAAAGACAATTTTGCTCATCGAAGAGAAAGCGCTCTGGTGCTGAATGGGTTAACAAATATAATCTGTCAAATTGGGCTAGCAATTAGACCGTCAGTAAAATAATAAAGCATTTAGCACATTTGGGCACATTGCATCTTAACCCATTGAGTGGCTACACTCTTGACAAGTAAAATTGTCTGGCGTTAGACAGAATAAAATACTAATAAATGTAGGGTGTATTAGGGTGCATTGCCACTTAAAGCATAGGATGCAATTGGTTAACCCATTGAGTGGAAGCACTCTCCACTTGACAAGTAAAATTGCCTGGTGTTAGACAGAGTAATTAATACTAAAGAATGACACATCATGACCCAGTGCATTGCCACTTAAATGGTTAATGGGTTAACCAGATATGTTGAGTAAAATGCATCTGCCAGCGTTAGACGGAGTGACATAATAAAGTAGGCCGAATTTGGGTGCATTACAGCTTGGTAGGTAATTAAATACTGTATATTTGAAACATAGCATTAACCCTGACGGTACCGTATTAACACATAGTACAGCTCTGCTGTAATACTTCTCCCCTAATGGATAAAATCAGATTGTGATTAGAAAGAAGTTGGCTGATGTTCTGTAAACCCGCGGGCCGGCCCGTACATGAAAAGCCATCAGTGATGTTTTTAACAAGCATGTATTGTACTATATAATAGCACCATTGAAAGCACTATTCTTACAACTACAAAGTACCCTCAAAATGCAAGAAATACCATCAATTTCAGAGACTCTAAAATCAGCGTGCACCCTGAAACCCCAGGTTAAATTAACAGACAGAACAAACATTTTAGTCTGGGATGCCGGAACCACTGGTGCAGTGGATGCCAGTGTACTCTTCGCCTTTTGTATTCACAACTCTATGAGTGTGGTGCAGACTATGGGTGCAAGGGATGCACAGAAGATTTAACACAAAAAGATTAAATTATGTACAGTAAATTCCTACATGATTTAAATTACGTTAATCATTAAATTACGTTATAAACTGTCTTTTAGCAAAACAACGCAAACGTCGGACATTTTCAACCCACAAGTTTTACCCATGACGCCACAACCATTTACTGTGCCCCCAACACATAACCAAAACTCAAACTTGTGCCCAGCTTTTGATAACAAATTGCACAGTTTGCCCTCAGCAGCTTCCAGAATCCCTTGTTTTACAGCCTTACATGTAGTGTACAAACTTAGCACACACACACACACACCCTGCATTGGGGACCTTCACCCACCTGTCTGAGAATTTCTAAATCCACTCCTCGCGCTGGACTTACATTAATAGCCTTATACACTAGACTTAATTGTAGCATCCTATACAATAACACACAAAATAACCTTTCTGTTATAATGCTGCCGCAAATATATTTTACCATGTTGCAAAGGCCTTAGTGTTGTTGTGGAAACCTTGCAAATGGTATTCCTGCAACCTCACTAACTTGGGACTGTATGGACTGCATTGAATTACAGTAACCCATCAGGTGACAGCCACTTGAATAGTAAAATTGTCTGGTCTTAGGGTGCATTAGAGCAGAATGTGTCCTAATGGGTTAACTGTGACAACCAGTACCAACAAGGCAACAACTAAAGTAGTGACAACATTATCTCTGCATGGAGATTGATAGTGATTCAACTACTGTACACCTGAAAAATACAAGTGTAAAACTTCAACATCTTTTCATCGGGAGTTAGTAGTTAGTAAGTTAACCTAGTGTCTAACTTGGGAAATGAATTTGCATATTTTATAACGTTCAAACTTTAAGGAAGAACACGTCAAAATAAACGCACGGGCATTTTTACAAATTTTCTCTGATAATAATATGTTATTATTATTCTTTATATGTACCGTATTTACATCTGTGGAAGGATTTAAATAGTATATGGAGATTTTAAGTGTGAATCTTTTACATTTATTGCATTTACACCTTGCGGTCTTGCGTACACAGGGGTGTACACCCCTGTTGGCCTTGTGCCCCCTATACATAGTGTACATGAATAGTTACCCACTCCATAGAAATATTTTTATTTAAAATCACATAGATGGAACAATTATTTGTTGAAGTTCCAAAGTCTCTGGTCAACCCAACGTCAACTGATGTAAAAAGCTGGTTGGAAAAACCACCAATGGGCAAAGAAGTGGCCGTATTTCCTATGTCGTCTGCAAAACTTGTGTACTACATTCATCAGTATTACACTGAAGTGGAACTCCACAAGACCTTCCAGGAGACGAAAGAAATACAAGAGAAAGTCAAAAGTTTACTGCCTTTTCTTCCTGATGGTACGTTCCTCGTTCATTATTTTTTTACGGTTTGTGAAGTATATAAAATTGCACCAAGGTGAAATACTCTAACGCCCGTATTCTAAAAGCTCACTCACACTCACACTCACACTCAATGAGTGGAGATTCAATCTGAGCTTCCCTTGAGTGTCAATGCTGTTTTTGAATAGCTGGAGGATGAGTAGTGACATAGTAAGGTATGACACTAGCCCTCCTGCTATTCAAAAACAGCAATTACACTCGAGAGAAGCTCAGATTGAACTTCCACTCATTGAGTGTGAGTGTGAGTGAGCTTTTAGAATATGGGCGTATATTTACGAAACGTTTTATAGTCCATGAGGCTATAGACAGTGTAAAAATTATGCATGCATTATTAAAAGTTAAAAGGTTAGCAGCTGACCATGCATACTGAGCCTTGTTTGAGGAATATTAAGTGAGTTAAGTTTATTGTCACTTTGTATTTCGATCTTTTGGAGAGGTTTAAGACATAAGCGTTGTCTGTTATCGTCCAGCCGTGGACAGTTAGCAGTAGACAATGCCTCTCTCTATGATAGATGTGGAAAGATTATCCTTAACACCCTCTTCTGAAGTCGTTCGATTTATTACTGTACTGTATGTTTGGGTAAGGAATGATATCTCCAGACATGAATTAACCCATTGAGCGCCAGTGTTCTCATCTTGATGAACAAACTCGTCTGGCATTAGACGGAGTAAAATATTAAAGTAGGGCGCAGGGTCTTAGCTAGGATTTTAGATTTTGGGAGTGTTTCTAAATTTCCATCGTGTGTACTACGTGCCAATTACCAAGAATAACTAAATGACGGTTCTAGTTATGCTCACCACCAATATATAGACTATGCCTGTTCATGTTTGGTGTATGCTTTGCATGCAGAGTTTGCAATAAAGCTGCGGGTCTGTGGGTACCACCCGCGAGGAAGGTTCATACCATATGTGAGGTCAGTGAGGAAGGATTATCTTGGAACATTGCATTGTACTCAACACTAACACCATAAAACAAATAAATGATATGATACTTGTGATGTTACTCTGAGTGTATTATCCACACCGGGCAAGCTTGAAAATGTGCCTGGCCACGGTGGGAATCAGACCTACGCCTTTGGAATAGCAGCCCGATACTCTGCCAACTGAGCTACGCGGTCAGGTTGGTTCGAGTATGTGATATTTCGGAATAGAATCTAGTTCCTTCGATAACAATGTAATCTAGTAATCATGACTTTTTCTGTGTTGATGTAATGTACTCAGGTGAATATGATGCGTGTGATGTTACTCTGAGTGTATATCGACACCGGGCAAGCTTGAAAAATATGCCTGGCCACGATGGGAATCGAACCTACGACCTTTGGAATACCAACCCAATGCTTTGCAAACTGAGCTACGCGATCAGGTCGTTTCGAGTATGTGATATTTCGGAACAGAATCTGAGTACATTACATCAACACAGAAAAAATCAAATAAATGATACTTGACTAGTCAGGTCGAGGTTGGCAGAATGCTGGTAGTTATGTAATGCAGTAGTACAACATTTCCTAACGCTGTCGGCTGGCAACAGCAGCTTTCTGAGGATCGGCGATTCTGTAGCAGTCGCATGACATATACATTTATTTATTTATTACATTTGCCAGCAGTCTGTACTATTTGCCTGCACATGTACAATGCAATTACCAGCTAGCTGCTCGATGCTAGATACTTGTCAACAAGGGCTGATAGATATTTTACTTTCTGGGACCTGAAGAGAACATTGAAAATTGTCTGCAAATAATCAAGTAAATTGACACTCGGACACTGTAACTGTGTGATGTTGTCACACTGAATGTCATGCTATATATTTTAACAGAAAATAACAGTGCAATTTCATTGCACTGAGAATCTTAATAAATATGGAATATAGGGTCTAATCCTAAGGTAAATAGAGATGCTAAAAAAGGCACTACTATTGGATCCATGCTCTCCCAGAAAATTTTGAAGCTGACGTTGCGTCATTTGATCAATTTCTAAAGTTGTTTCTTTTTGGATTTACTGTATTTAGTTGGTTAGGGTTAGAGTTGCGGTTAGGGTTAGGGGTTAGAGTAGGGGGTAGGGTTTGGGTTAGTTACATAGTCATTTAACACCTCTTCCATCTTCCGAAAATGACGTCACGTCAGTTTGGTAGATGGAAACAAGTGCTGACTGTGCGGGCTAAAAATGCATTTGCCATACAACATTTGTTACAGTATTTTAGCATTATACTCAAGGTTTTCAGTCAAAATGTTTTGCAGTGTAAATAATCTTACTGTATTATATCTACAGGTGTAATAGAAAAACGACCAACGTGGCCTATCGCATTCCCTCATCCTTACGTTCCGAAGACAAGGTTTGGTGTGATAGGATGGCAATACTTTACCCGGACTCATATCTATGGCTTTAGTGATGACAATCCTGAAATAAGACTGGAAGATGAATATAAGGAGGATATCGACGAGGTCTTCGAGACCTCCGTGAAAATGCTTCAGGAGGAAATGGGAAGCATGTATAAAGTTTTCAGACTCATCAATGGTTATCGTAAGTTCGATATGCTACGAGGGACTGACTATCTGTTGGATATTGGTTTGAAAACTTCTGAGAGTTCCAAAGAAGAGATCAGGAAGCGTGTTCAACTTCTCAGACCGTTGACCGTTCTTGAAAGTGTTCATATGCCACATCCAACCACACAACGAGGCGTTTATCTTGTCTTGCCTGTGAGAAAGTAAGTAGCCTGGCTAATAGGAGATGGTAAGAATACTTTGGATTGATAGGAATGCAACTGTACAGTACCTGAAATATTTTAGGAAAACGTCGACGTTTCGAGCGAAGGCCCTTTCGTCGGGATGTTAGTAGCTGACAGTTGGCTACTAACGAGGCTACTAACTTGTGAACTTTATTTATTTATTTGACTGTGAACTTTATTTAAGCACGGAGGCCTGTTATCCAAATTGAAATGATCTTCCCAAGCGCCGTGACATTTGAAATATTTACAAGAAAAATGATAAATTAAAGCTATACAGTACATAACAAATTATTTCTACAGTGTATTTAGTGACGTGAAATTCCTATTTTCAATTGGTATTGAATTCCATACCACTGCTCCATTATATTTCAGACTATTTTTCAAAAAATTAGTGTTTGGTTTAGGGATAACAAAATTGTAGTCATGTCCTCGTGTACCATGACTGTGAATTAAATTCGCTCGATTAAATGGCCGTGAAAGATAAGATGTGTCTAATTTGTAGAATACTTTGAACATTAGTCATGATTTTTGTTTCATTCGCATACCTTCTGGTGTCGGCCAATGTATGTTATTCAAAATTTGGGAAGAGCGTATTTCATAACTCAATGATTATTGCTGCGTACTTGAGCTGGTAGAAACTTAAGCCTCGAGGTGAACTTACTCTTTAGAGTGTACAGGTTTCTGAAAGGTAATTCATTCAGTAACTTGACACTATGAGTTAAAAGTGAGAAAGACAACAATTGAATACACAAACACTACAATCGACTCCACCATTCCTTAGTCCCATCAGTCCATTCATATTGACATGTCAGACGTACATACATGCATTATATACGGTTACGCAAACGGTTTGAATACCTTGGGCTTGGTAAGGTCATATGGTACCAGCAAAATGTAAGTCCCCAGATAGCAAGATTCTCGCGTGCCTATGTGTTACTTGGTTGAAAACTACGATGTCGTAAGGAACAAAGTACTTGATCGTTGTATATATGTACTTGACGTACGTCAATACGCATGAATCAAAAGCCTTTTTTAAAACTGTTATATTTTTGCTCAAAAATGCTGTGCTGGAGATCGTATTCCATAAAGACAAAATCAAGAATTTTCCTGGGAGTGGGTAGTTTTGGTGGAAGTGGGTAGTTTTGGTGGAAGTGGGTAGTGTTCTCCTTATAAAACTCAATCTTCTTCCGAAAAAGCGGTAGCAGATTAAAATGCTTGATAATGTAGTATTAAGCCTGCTCATTATTTCAGCCGATTAAATAGCTTGTTCTAAAGTATTGTTTGATGTTTTGTTCTAGGAATGATGCTCGTCGTTTGGAGAGATTTCTTCAAATGTATCAGGCCAACTGTCTCCAGACTGGTGAGAATGTTCTACTTCTCACGGTTTTTGTCAACATGCGTGATTCGTCAATAAAGAGTAAAGACAATATTTTCGCTGATTCTAAAGCCATCTTGACAAAGTAAGTACTACAACGTTGTTCGGAAATTTTTCCGGAAGCTTTTGCCAACTAATTTTTTCCGTTCATAATAAAATAATTGAAGGAATGGAGTGTTTTAGAATTATTTGCAAGATCCTGGCTTAGGCTGGACACAATTAATGGATGTATAACATGCAGTACTATGGTTTTGATGCATTGTTTATTATTTATTAGGTTCAAGGAAAAGTACAAGTGGGCGCAAGTTCCGTGGATACAAGTTGGTGCGAAGCAATATTCCTCCCGATTATTACTGGACATAGTGACTATGAAACTTCCTGTTAGTGCCTTGATATTCCTCGCAAATCTCGATATCGACTTCACTGTCAATTTCCTTGGTCGTTGTCGCATGAATGCTGTTGATGGTGATCAGGTGAGACGTGAATTCTATAGCGAAATCTTCCCACCCTCAAAGATTCTCGCATTAAGGAATTTAGAGCCCGTTTACACTTTCTATTTTCTAGTGCGATTTTTTTCTTCTGATGGATGTGAACGAGTAGATAAGTTATGTACTATTTAAAACACGAGTAGGAGTGTTTTATCAGATATAAAACGCGAGGCGCAGCCGAGCGTTTTATATCTGATAAAACACGACAACGAGTGTTTTGAATAGCTTAAAATACGACCACAAAAGAATACTAATTAGGATGAACCATTATATAATCATGCTAATTAGGATGAACAATTATATAATGCCACATGTGTTTTATCAGATATAAAGTCACTTCACGTGACATATTATGGCTGATATGATTTGCCACAAGGTTTATGAATTGTTAATGAGTATTTTAAGAATGTTCAGATGAGAGTACATGTACTTACAGTATAACATTCATAAAGACGAAAATCGCACTAGAAATCGCAACGAAAATTGCAAATGTAAACGGGCCTTTAGAGATAGATTATTCCCGGTCTGTTATCATTACAGGCATCAGAAAAATCTGATTAGTTGCTCCAAGTCCCTATTTCTGTAATGCGTATACCATGACCAGTGGGCTTCATATATGTGTATAGGTTATCATATAAGGGATGAGGTGATATCAGTTTTATCGCTAGAGGGATGATATCACAATTGTCACGAGCGAGCGCAGCGAGCGAGGGATAATTGTGATATCGTCCCGAGAGCGATATAACTGATATCACCGAATCCAGAGTACGATAACCTATTTATTATATACTTGTACCTTTATCAGGGTTAGAAACCCAAAAGTAGCAGTTTTAAAAAATAGGATTATTTTAAAATTCCAAACATTTCATCAATTACTGAACAAATATGATTTTAGAAAATAAATAGACCATTCATATAGATAATATACAATTTAAGTCTTTCGTTTCGTATTATCGTTCTTGTTTCCTTCGATAAAACTGTCGACATGAACCGACACGAACCTCGAGTCGGCTATCTTTGTTTTGACAAGGCGCGAAATTTAGCGGTAAATGTGTATGCGGAAATTGAACTAGAGCTATTGCACGTCAGTTCCAGTCCATTTCTATTGTTTTTATCTGCGCAGTTAACACGAAGCTGGCAAGGATATATATATATATATATATATATATATATATATATATATATATATATATATATATATATATATATATATATATATATATATATATATATATATATATATATATATATATTTATATATATATATATATATATATATGTGACAAACAGAACGGCTACGTTTGAAGAAGTTTATTAAAAAAAGGTATATTAAATACAAAAACTAAATTTTCGGCTGCATGCCACAGCCTTCTTCAGAGTGCCTATAGCTTTACACAGAACATACTTATATACAATAAATTATGAATAAATTACCATTGTTGGGCGAAATCATGACTACCATTAAGGCCTTTCCGGTTGGTCAACAACATTCCTATCCAAAAGTTTTCACTCTTAAGTACTTCACTATGGTGTTGGTCAATAAGCATAAATTTTAAGCTCGGATGATCCGCCTCATGCACATCAATAAAATGATTTGTTATACTGCATGTCCGGCGCTTATGTTTAATGTGTGATTTGTAGTTAGCTAGTCTGGACTTAAAATTGGCCGTAGAGCCAACACCTTGCAAACCACAAAGCACACACTCAGCAAGATACACTACATTACTGGAAGTGCACGTCAAAGATTTTAAAATGAGAAATATCCTTCCAGTGGCAGCTGCACGAAAGGAATTGCCAAAAATCAAAAAGTTCTTACAACTATCACACCGCTTGGCATCACATTTGTAGCAGCCTTCACCTTCCAGTTTATTGGGCTTATATGGGTTAGATGGTGCTAATAACTCCTTCAAATTGGCATTACGCTTATACGAAACAAGAATGGCACCCTCCGGTAGAATTTTTTTGGCCTGTTCATCACTATCTAAAACAGAGCGATGTTTACGAAAAATTTTTTGAATATCAGGAGCACTGGGATTAAACTTGGTAACAAAAACACAGGAATTACGACGAACTTTACGTCTACTGGTACGCGCTTCCTCACGAGTCATAGCACCAACCACCTCAAAGGCTCTATTGACATGTGCACTGTCGTGGCCGCAATCCGTGAGATATTTCCTATAAATCCTACTTTTTTCCAAAAAATCAGCGTCCCTAGAGCATATGCGACGCAATCTCAATGCCACTCCTTTGGCAATACCCAAAATTTGAGATTTTGGGTGCGACGAATTGGCATTGAGATACAAGTGTGCGTCCGTGGGCTTACTATAAACTGTAGTTTCCATACGATTATTAACTATGGAAATCAAAAGATCGAGAAAATGCAAACTACGCCCACCCACATCCATAGTAAACTGTAGATGCGGGTCGAATGTGTTGAGATCCTGAAAAAACGCTTGAAGCCGTTCCATGGTACCCCGCCATAACACAATCGTATCATCTCGAAATCTAAACCAACATCTCAGTTCAGGATAAATAGAACGAGATTCTAGAACTTTTTTATCTATTTCTTCTGCGACAATATCGGCATATGAGCAGGAATTCTTAGGTCCCATAGCAGTACCATTTTCCTGCAGCCAATATTGCCCTCGATACATGGAACAGTTTTTCTTCAAGCAGATTTCCAAAGCTTCAATAACACACTCTATAGGCACATCGAAAGCCTCAGCATGTTGCGAAAGTTTACAACGTACTCGCTCTATTCCCGTCTGATTGTCTATAGATGGGAACATATTAGTAATATCAAAACTAACTAAGAGATCCTCATCCGATAGCCCCGTTAAATTAAGCTCATCCACAGTATCTAGCATATGTGTGGTATTTCGGACGCGACAAGAAATAGAATCTAAAGCTATTTTACAATATTTTTTAACGAACAAAGATAAATTCTCTGTGGGCGTACTACATCCCGAGGTAATGACCCGTGCGGGATATATATATATATATATATATATATATATATATATATATATATATATATATATATATATATATATATATATATATATATATATATATATATATATATATATATATATATATATATATACATATATATATATATATATATATATACACTGTTAATTTCAAGGAGTTATTTTAACTCCACCATAGGAGTTAAAACTACTCAACTTGGGAGAGTAAAAATAGTGGAGTAAAATCTACTCCCAAAATAGAGTTAAAACTACTCCACTTCGGCGCGCATTCCACAATTTACTCCATCAGGAGTCAATTTTACTCCACTGGAGGAGTAAACTAAACTCGCGTTTAGGAGTAGAAATTATGGAGTAATTTGTACTCCTTAATTTTACTCCAGGGGTCGTTTCAACTCCCAAAAAAGAGTAAAATTGTTTTGGATCTGGAGTAAATTATTACAATATATAATTAATGTGCCTGAGAATCCAAGAGTTTTTCTGCTGGAGGCTATACTCTATTAAAGTATTGAATACAGTCAGATGCGAAAAGCACGAAGTTCGTGATTGCTGCCGAAGGCAGCCTCCTATTCTTGACGATGTGTTATAGCGCATTTGAATTTCCCGCCAAATGAAGTATCGCGTTTACTTGTGTCCAGTCTCTTTGCCCGAGCTATGTATTGTCGAGATCTCGATATTGTGTCTGTCTGTCTGTATGTAAAGATGTCGTAATTCCGGGAAAATAATTAAAGCTTCAGGAAGTTTTTTTAAACGAGGGGGGCGGTCAAACTTTATTTTGTATTGCACACGGAGCAAGTTCTTCTCAAGGACAGTTACGCCGGAGCCAATATTTACATTTTCATTATGCAAAACATGGACAATATTTTCAATAATTCAGGTAAGGATGGCTTTATTTCTTTTTGGTAATATACATGAAGGCATTTACAGTATATTTAGAACACTGTGATATTTCATGAATTTAGATTCAGCATGAATTTCACTGATCACTGATCGTCTTTATAGTTAAATATACAAGTAGTCAAAATCTGTTTTTAGTTTATTTGTTTGTGTAGTTATTTCCAAAGGCGATGAATTTATTGTGTTTATTCGACATGTTTATAGCAATGTGCTTTCAGTACGTTTTAAAAACAAACGTGGAATGTTGTGCAGCAGGGCTTATAATCAGGCTTTAGTTAATATTTAATATAAAGATATCCCTATAGCAATCCAGTGTGGTATAAAAGGAGGGGTGGCCAAACATTTTCTAGTGGGATGCAAACAGCACCACCAAGCTTCGGCAGGAGTTAGGATTAAAGACTTTCACCCAAAGTCGGAGGGCTGCTGACGTGAAATTTTGGTGGGGTTGAACATTTTATAACACCTCGGGGTGTTATACTCGGTACTAACCCCCCAGGCCCAGTAAATCTGCCCATGGCTGTCTGCACATATTAACTTACCAGCAGTTATATGTAATAGCATGTCAACCGACTTTTGTACAAGGTATGACGGTTTGTAAAAATATATCTCTGAGATATGTCCATTGTCAGCATATTAAATAAGGAATAATCCTACCGGCCTACATAATACATTCATATATTCACCTGACTGTGTTACTACATTTCAGGGTATACTATATTTTCTCGATAATGCTCACAATTTCTTTCTTATTAATATACAGTTTTGAAGTTATGACTGAGTACAATCTTAATCACTGGCATTACAAATGAATGGTGCCATCTGAAGCTGATGTATTAAATTAAACAAAAATGACAGTTGTTCTGTGATAGGGGTAGTTTTGTATTATAGTATTTCTATACATGAAATTGTTATTAAATTTTACATGTCCAATGATTCATTCAAGTATTATTATTGTTGTACATTTATTATATAAAGTATAGTGCTTTATAGAGATTTCGAGCACTGATAAAACTGATAATCTCACATGTGAGATTATTTATGATAATGGTCATTCCAGAAAACATCCATACCACCCCCGTGGAGGAATAGGAAGTTAACCCCCCTACCCCCCTTCGAATGTCCTAATACATTTACTATTATCAGAAACACTTTTTCTCCCTTCCTCCTCCGGACGGCAGAAATTTCCTCCGTGGGGGGGAGTATGGATCTTTTCCGGAACGACCTAATCTCTGCCTATGCCTATGCTGATAATCTTGCATCTATTTGAATGATACAAATCATTTAAAACTTGCATAGCATGACTTGTTGCTATGGCTAGCTTCACCAATGACAGCTGATTATAATTATACATAACAAAAGCAAGAAGTTATAAGCATTGAAGTTATTCATATAAAACCACAGGTGGCCAGGCTCTGTGTGGGTATTTATTTATTTTTTAATTTTATTATATTTTGCATTACAAATTTACTTTAATTTTTTAAATTATAAAGTATAACTTACTTAGTTTCCTTTATGTATTCTTTATGTATTTGGGGGTGGTTTTAGTTTTATATAATGATATAAAAACATCATGAGAGTAATGGCAAAGCGGGATCATATAAACAGCCCCTTATTCAGCCAATTGTGCATGCTGCCTTTGATCCCTTGGGGGGTGAGGCAGCACTTTCCTTGCGA